CTTTTCAATACTGCCCCAAATAAAAAAAAAAAAAATATTTATTTCCCCCCCCCCCCCCCCCCCCCCTTGTTAAGGATGTTAAAGCGTTAAATAAATTCCGATACATTTTTGTCTGTACAATTTATTACGTGTTTTCTTATGAAAAGTGATTCATATAAAGCACATAATAATGCACAAAATAAAAACATCTTCTTTTGATCAATAATGCAAAGCAAAAACAATCATACTCCTGGATTTATGCATTTAACAAAGTATAAATTTCTTTAGCCATATATATACATATATACACACACACACACACATTTGTTTAACTCATATATTCCTTTCTGCATATCATCAATGAATTTATCTGCTTTCTCCTTAAACTCTTTGTAGGAAAATAAAATGCTGAAATTCTTCAATGCAATCTGATGGTTGCTAGTGTTGTCCTCTGTCAGGTGGATCTAATAACAAGTTCTGTCTCAGCAGTTCATACCTTTTCAGTTTGTCAGGTTCAACTCAAAATATCTGATATTCTGTATGTTATTTGACTGATTTCTTTCACGCTATTTTTTATCATGCATATTCCTTTCTGCATATCATTAATGAATTTCTCTGCTTTCTCCTTAAACTCTCTTTTATGTATCTGTTCCTGTCTGGGTTTGGCAGGTTTGGCACGTTGCTTCTTGTTGTCTTCGATAATCTCTTTGAGGATATCAGGCACAGAACTAACTTTGGCGATCATTTCTGAAATGTTTCCAGACAAATGCACAATTTTAGACATCTGGTCACCCACTTTACTCCTGTCATGTTCCTGAAACAGGTGTCTTTTTTCAAAGCAGTAGGCAAAATGTTCACTTAATGCCTGGGTTTTGTGGTATGATAGTGAAGGGTCTCTCAATATTTCCTCAGTGCATTGACCGATTTTTTCCAGCATGTCAATTATAGGGTTCATTTTATCCTGAAATCCATTAAGTTCCTCTTCAACAGATCGTTTTAATTTCTTCTTTTGCTGTGTTTTCCTGTTTAGTCCAAAAGCAGTACATAATACAGCAACTACAGCCACAGCTGCCCCTGCTACAGAAAACAATTCAGAATCCTCTTCATCAATTACAAAAAATGATAATGCCGACAACACCAGTGCGATTCCTCCAGTTATTACTCCTCCACTGAGTGCATAAATAGCAAGTCTGTTACCATTTTTAAACTCATTGGTGAGATCATGAATTTTATCCAAATGCTTGTTACATTCTAGGGAAATGTCCTTATAAAGTCTAGTCAATTCATCTGTGAGATGAAAAACATCAGATCTAAAGAAAAACAGAGTAGAAATATTTTATACAGTATGTTCTGTACGTCTCGTAATACAAATATTTATATTTTAGTATATATATGATAAACGTGTATATTAGCTGATATGTATGTTTCTTTAATTTGATACTTTATGCTACATTAACAAGTATGACTACACAGGCTTTTATTATTATGATTTTTTTTTAAACATTGCCTCATTATCAAAATCATGCTAAACACTCATTCGTAGTAAGCGAAAACCCATAAAAATACACAATGTATTAAAATAATAACAACGATCTCTTACAACATGTTAGGTGGCAGCTCCATGCTTCCGCGTCGATGGTGACCCCTCGGTGAAGCCATTGTTGCTGTGATTAAATAACACAAGTGTTACTTATCATGTCAGGACCAGCTAGGACATTGCAAATGTAAGTGACTAGCAAGATCATCATGCAAACAGTCAAGCCAGTCATCTACTGCCGGATGCTGTTATATTGCTGGTTTAAGCTACTTTGAAGCAATTGTATAAACCCCCCCCCCCAAAACATTTTTTAATTATTTTTTTTATCTTCCCTTCCACATAGATGTATGACACATGTTTACGAGAGAGCATTGATTTGAGAGTAGACAATTGCATTCATTATATGCTCACTTATGCACGATTTTTAGAAAAATAAACCAAGACAGTCAACTTAGAATGTAACAAATGAAGTTTGCACTCAATGTCATATTTCCTCTACTGTAAACAGCTGTACTCTCACATTAACAACATGCATGTCACGTTTCAATCAGTATGGTACACAATAATTCCATTCAAATACATGTAATAAACTTGGTAGGTCAAAAAGTAGTTAGAATACATTACTTAAGAGGTGTAATACTGAATATGTCATGTCATGTAAGTTTTAATGGACTATTAAGTAGTCTGCCCAGCACTGAGTGCTGACTGGCTAGTTGAAAGTATTTTTGTAATCAGCCCAATTACTTATATTAATAATAATAAGAGCTATGACCGTACCCAGATAGCGTGTAGTAGTTGACCTGAACTCATCAGTGGAGTGTCAGTGTAGCATCAGTCTTCTTTTAGCTTCTTATAACCTGTCAACAATTTTCAGAACATGAATTTGATATTAAACAGATATAAATATGCCTATACTATCAGAGTTTCTGTCTGAATAAAAGTCAACACTGAACAGAAATCCTACTTATCTAATATCTGAATAATCAAATGGACCTTTTAAAGGGTCTATCTATTTTCTTGTTAAAGGCACAATATGTAACTTTTCACCACTAGAGGTCAAATTTTTTAAAACAATAAAGGTGAAGCTTTTATAACACGGTTATGAAGGACAGTGGAATGATGGGAGATGTCGTTTTCACCATCCAGAGATGTCTGAATCATGTTCATGGATATAATGAATTAATGTTTTACTACCTGTACCTTTCAAAGTTATTCAATCAGTGAATAAATTATACAGAGAAAGCGAGCAAAGAACATTTACATTGTCAAAGAACGGTATGACTGACTTCAATCTAGCGCGAGTTTGCACTCTCAAAAAAAAAACCCTTATAATCAGTAAAGCTGTCTATACACTGTTTGGTGAATGTATCTCCTGCTTACATCATACGCACATCTGCACTTTGTTGTTTATGATGAGAGAATTCACGAGAGAGCAGAATTCAGTCAGCGAGTGCGCGCACTGAACAACAAAACTCCAGTGTTTCAGCGAGGACTCATCTGAACGCCTCTGATTGGCCGCTGCGTTCATAAACTCAACAGACTCGTGTGTGATTGGTTATAGCGTGCAACACTGTTTGAACGCCGAAAAATAATAATGGTGCAACATTGAGCAGATCTAAATTTAATGCTTTTCATTTCATTTTCATTTTATTCACAACAGCCGTAATGGATTTAGTTTAACTGTACAGCAGCATTTTTGTCCAGGTGTGTTGCCATAGTTTCTACAAGCGGAAACAAGTAGTGCGGATATTACGTCATTGATAGGTGACAATGAACGGGGAGGAGCCATTATTTAAAATTGGAATTTCTCTGGATTTACAAATACTTGGGAACTTTTGGAATAACGTAAGTACACAACTGCATGAAATATTTAACAATGTGCATGTGGTTTTGGATATTTTATTATGAAAATCTTACACATTGTGCCTTAAAGCTTATATAATAATAATAATAATAATAATAATAATAATAAACATTCACCTATTAGAGTATTTGTGTATTGCTGTAATCTGAATTTTCAGAATAGTCTAAAATGTGTGTTTTTTTAAAAACATTGATTAATAACAGATTATATAATGTCAATCAATTAATACATTTAATGAACACATGGGTCAGCATGATTGTAGTACAAGTCTCAATAATAATCAGGATTTACACTTAAATTGCATTAGTGTCTGTTAATAAACATGGATTCATATCCCCTTCTCATCAGCCAACATGTTAGCCTATATACATTTTGATGCCATGATACCTTATAAATATAAATAAATACATACATATATTCCTTCATTAACGTAAAATAATAAATAAACTAGTTGGGGGATATTTAGAATTTGAATATTTAGAATATTTTTAGAATTTGTTATTATTCAATCCGTTCAGTGTTTCTGGTTTCAGTTTTGTTTCGGCTAAAACTATTTCTCTTGATGAAAAATCAGCGAGCTTTAGACATTAAAGTTAGCTCGCCGCACACCTTCACTTATTTTCATTGTATTGTTGTTACTCATTTGTAATGCCTTTTATTTTTTCTAAATATCGGTAGAGATAGCCTACTCAAAACCCTGCACAGTAGAAGATTCAATTCAATTTATGTTTATTTATAGCGCTTTTCAGATACATGTCGTTGCAAAACAGCTTCACAGAAAATGTTAGTTACTTCATTACAAAGATGGTGATTGTTAATGTTGAATTCAGATTTTCAAGCATGAACTACACAGCCTCTACATCTGTGTGGATCATGACTCGCATGTCCGGATAGTGAGGACAATTTATTAAACCTGCCATTTTTGCATTAATTTGATAGAAAAAAAGGCAGAGAAAGCAAGCAAGAAAGAATAGAAGCAAGAAAATATCAAAGTAAAAATATAACGCGTCTATTGAAAACTTGATATTCTGTCCACTGATATATAACTTCTGAAATTATGGCCACGCCCCTGTCAGTGTGTCACTATCGCAACTACAACTTACTGCAGTGCAAACTGTACATTATGGTGCACACAGGCAAGCACATAA